CCTCCATGTTCCCACAACAAATCAATACCTCTGGGGGTACTGATCCAGGAGTTTCCTTGTCTTCTGGATTGGTTCAAAATTACAAGGCTACGGAGTTGAACATTAGTAGTCGTAAACCCATGAAATTGGGTCGGCTGTTCAACGACGGTTATAAAATAAAATTTATAACTTCTGTTTAAATAAAATCAAAGCAATAGTAAGTTAATTGTTTAGATTTGTTTAGTGTTAAAAAAGAATCGGGAACCCAGTATATTATAATTATCTTAAAAGTATATTTTCATTCTAACATAATTAGAAAAGACAGACATTAAATTTAACATTCCCGCTGCTATAAATTAATGTTTTCCTAGAATTTATCTATTCCTAAAGTATTGTTGCTATACATTAGTTTTTTTTTTACAAAATTAAACACATATTTGAATTCTGTTTCATCCAAATCTTAATTAACTAAATTTGTAAAAAAAAAAAAATATGCTTTGTTTAAATAATTATAATTGCAACAGTAGTTATTTGTATTATCACCAAAATCTGCACTCTATATAATTCGTTTGGAAAAAATTATTATAATTTCGTCCGTAAAAGTAAAATACCACTGACATTGCTAAGGTAAATATCACTGCTAGGATGAAATCTTCGTAATTTATTTTAATTAAAATTTTCTATTTGTATGCCATTGATTTTTTGTTTTTCTTTTATTATTACAAAAATTATCTTAGTTGTTATATTTCTTGGCGAAAATTATTGTTTATTCACTATTTAAAAAAAAAAAGAAGAAAAAGAAGCAGAGAATAAAATATGGAAGTAAAAGCTTTTTTTTCGTGTGAAATTATTACAGATTTTTTTTTTATTAGTCTATTTGACATTATTAATCTTTATTTTTTCTTATAATTTTTTTTTTACAATCAATTCTTTTATTCATATGTTATACAAACAAATATTTAAAAAGTAAGTGTTAAGAATTTTTTTTTTTATTTAATTATAAATCTGTTTGATATTTTGTCATTTTGAGTATTGATTGAGGCATTATGTTATTAGTAAAAATCCCATAGAGGATCATTTGTTCATTTGGGGTCGTCCATATATTACGTAAGCACCAAAAAAGGAAAATGTTTTATTTGCTGTCAACGAGAAGGAAAAGGATATGAGCTATGCTCATTACGACACTAATATCCCCTTTTTCAATATTTATTAAATCGGAAAAAAATTACTCATGGGAAATTTCAAATATTGAAATAGACGTTAAACTTGAGGAAAGAAAAAATTTGAAATTTTTTTTTAGTTTTTGAGAGTTTTGACGACAGAAGGAAAGCGCATAAGAATTAAAGACATTTCACGTGGTGCGTAGCGTTTTTAAAAAGTGCTTAAAGGTGCTTATTTTCGGTTTTTAGAAGCCCTTAGAGTGCTTTTTTTCATTGGGTGTTTTAAAAAAGTGCTTAATTTTCTCTTTTCGAAAATGATGTTTTAATTCTTTACCATGCTGATTTTCGCCATGCATTATTAAAAAGCGTGCTTTTCATATTGTTCTATTCAGCGTTTTTACAATTCATTAAACCACAATTCATTTCGGCGTTCAGTACGTTCATAGCGTATGGAAGCGCCAATCATTTTACATGTTTTACATTATTCTCTCATGATCATGTAAAGTTTTTGAAAATTATTTTGCATTCTTTTAAATGTATATATAGTGCTTAAAATATTCTTTGAGTGCGTAAAAAGTACTTAAAAGGTGCTTATTTTTCGTTGAAAGATTTGGCTACGCAACCTGATTCGGTTAGTCCTGTATCGAAAAACGCTATGTCTTAACAATAGCTTGACAGGGATGTATTATGTATTTAGGGATATGTAGTTATACTGGATATAAAAGATGTCTAAACTGCGAAAAGAGTTTTTGAAGTAAAATAAAATTGGTAATTTTGAATATTATCCTAAATTTACTGTATTCCATCCTAATTTTTTTCTAATGAGATTACTGCAGTAAAAGTTAAATGAATGGTGGGGGAATGAGGGACTCACTTAAAATTATTGCGGCTAAAAACAAGGGGGGTTGTGATTTTGACTGACAAAATCACAACCACATTAAGACGTAAAACATTTTAGGCTCCCAAATTTGCCTAAAATGTCTTACGTAATATTCAAAAGCTATTACACAAATGCTCCTCTATTTGCTGGGACTGAGAGACGATTTTTTATTATTATTATTTGTTGCTTTGTCACCCCTCCCCATTCCCGCTGAATAAATTCCCTGCGTATGTTACCCCAGGGTACACCTTAACTCAGTTGTTGCTCACCAATATTATAACTTCCTTTTTTTTTCATATTTCAGAAGATAACCTACGGCGTATAAGAGATATCCACGAAGGAATACAAAAACTGCGGGAAATAAATACCAAACAGATCGTCATTCACGTGAGTAGTTTTTATTTTATTTAGATTTTTAAGTAGAAGTATAAAGTTTTGTGTATTATAATTTATTAACGCACATCTTTTGCTGCATCCAATAAAACACTGGTTTGAAAATGCAATATTTCTGCTATTGCTGCTGAACTGTTCGTTTTCGTCCGGGTTATGGGAAAAATAACTGAATCGTTATTACCAGTATAAATTGTCTAGAACATAGATTTCGAACCTTTTTTTGACTCACCATTCACTTTGCGAGACAAAATCTTTGCCATGTCCCCTTAAGTATTTTTAACAAGGTTTATTAAATAATTGTAAAACAATTTCTTACATTCTCTATTTTGATGATACACTTCTAATCATCTTGTTATTTCATTGAAAATTACTACTGAAGCATGATTTTATATTTGAACCTTTTTTTAATTTTTAACAAATTTTTATAAAAGTAGCCTTTACGTAAAAAAATAAAAAAATATTCGCTGATAACTATAAAATAACTTTTAAACAAATTGTTTTAGAAATCCTGAAGTATTACGACACTATGTTCATGATGAAGAAAAAATAATAGTCGAAATAAACTGTAAAAAATTTTGAAAAAAAAAAAATCGTTTGAATGTGCATCAAACTCACTTGAATAAAAAAAATTTGGTGTAAAACAGAAAGCTAAGTGCTATTTTCACTGTAAAATTGATCTTTTTGCAATAATTTGCTGAATTTATAACTGCTTTAAAAACTTGTAATTTACGTAGGGTTGTATTGGAATGTGTTCAATACAAAATAAACTAAAATTATTGGTTTTCATATGTACTCGATATTTGAAGAAGTTTCTTCTGTAAATTCTTACACATCCTATAGAAAATTCCAACGTCCGTCCCAATAGAAGTCTTCAACGCCCACTAGCACCATGTTGAGAATCTTGGATCTAGAAAAACTTATTAAATATAAATTATTTATCCATAATTACTACAAATATAAATTATTTTAAATTGAATTCGTACTACTAGAAGTACGATCTTCTTTCTAAATTTTAGCTTAGCGGCAAGTTTTAACCACCTTTTGATTTATTTTTCTGTAACAAAAACATTACATTAAACAATAATTCATCAATTCTAAAATATCAATTCAGCAACATATATANTATAGTTCGTTGCGATCGCGAATAGTCGAAATAAACTGTAAAAAATTTTGAAAAAAAAAAAAAATCTTTGAATGTGCATCAAACTCACTTGAATAAAAAAAATTTTGGTGTAAAACAGCAGGCTAAGTGCTATTTTCACTGTAAAATTGATCTTTTTACAATAATTTACTGAATTTATAACTGCTTTAAAAACATGTAATTTACGTAGGGTTGTATTAGAATGTGTTCAATACAAAATAAACTAAAATTATTGGTTTTCATATGTACTCGGTATTTGAAGAAGTTTCTTCCTTAAATTCTTACACATCCTATAGAAAATTCCAATGTCCGTCCTAATAGAAGTCTTCAACGCCCACTAGCACCATGTTGAGAACCTTGGATCTAGAAAAACTTATTAAATATAAATTATTTATCCATATTCTTACTACAAATATAAATTATTTTAAACTGAATTCGTACTACTATAGGTACGATCTTCTATCTAAATTTTAGCTTAGCGGCAAGTTTTAACCACCTTTTGATTTTTTTTTTCTGTAACAAAAACATTACATTAAACAATAATTCATCAATTCTAAAATATCAATTCAGCAACAATTAAGAACCAAGTTATTTATTTTTTTTACTGTTGCATTTGAATTAAAATTTACTATCTGATTTAATACAATAACAATAACTAGTTATTGTTAGAGAAGCACACGTATATATACTTGTATATTTTAACTAATTGTTAATAATAAATAAGCACAGCTTATTCTTATTGTGCAGATATTTACAACTTCTCTTCGATTTTTATTTGTATTAAAGTGATCGCGTCAAAATTGCTTTTTTTCCTTCATCGAAGCCCGATTCGTAATGAAAAGTATCTAATTCTTCATATACAACCTCTTAGCATCAAATTAACGGTGTCCCCCAATTCTTTAGATCTGTCATGCAGCCTTACCAAATTCTATTGTTACAATACATACATTAGTACATGCATTAAGTGGTGTTGTGGGTAAATGTTGCCTTCAAGTTGAATTTGTGCACGAATTTTCCAAAATAATTATGTAATGTTTAATTCATTTAAAAATACTCAATCTCTGAATAATGTATCAAGGTATAATTGTAAACTAAAAAAGAAGTGAAACTAGTTAGTTGATCACTTGGTTCAACACTTCGATGGTCTACTCATCCTACAGGTAGTCATAAGGACGATATGATTGACGATCTATGGTGCTTGATCATAGAGAGTAATTTAGGTGTTCATCTTAACACTCCATCCATATAGTTCAACTATAGTTTACTTAATAAAGTGCAATGAAAATTTTTGGCATCACGACAGTTTACCATTCTTCATTTGCTGGACAGTTTACCATTCTTCATTTGCTGGTTCCTGATATCGTTAAAAAAAAAAGTTTCCGTGAAGATCAGAAGGGAAAAAAAAATCTTTAGAGAAAGTGAATGGTTTCGCTTGAAAACTGTTCAAAAATCTGTTTTTCCTATCCGCTTTGATTGCCAGAAGCTGTGAAGTAGAAATATCTTTAATAGTCTCGTCCACTCATTTGGCTTCACCGATGCGTAGGAGTTTCTTCAAGTTCAGGGTGACATCTGGGTGAAAGCAGCCAAAGCGTCCTTCTGTGTACACTGCATAGATTGCACTTGAACTTTATGAGGTTGAAAACGTTTTAAAACCTGCACAGCAATTGAAATTTAGTGGAGCGATTACGTCCACCTTTTAGATCTCGAACATAAATTTCGATTCACAAATATGTTTCATTTCTTTTATAAAAAAAATGTATATTAAAATCGTACTGCATTGCTTGCTTTTTGTGCGGTCGTGCAGCGAAAAAAAAAATTAAGGAATTTTCAAGGAATAAAGAATTATTTTGTGTTAAAGTTGTTAACTATCTTAACGGCAAATTTTAGTTAACGGGTTAGAAAACTCTACATTCTTATGTATTTTTATGAGAAAAATATTAAAATTTTACAATTTATTGCTGTAGAGACATATTTGAAATTTTGCGCAACCTATAACTGATTGCTGTAGGAATAGATTGCAAATTTTGCTCAACCTATCACTGATTGCTGTAGGAATAGATTGCAAATTTTGCGCAACCTATAACTGATTGCTAACGTACTGCATTGCTTGCTTTTTGTGCGGCCGTGCAGCGAAAAAAAAATTAAGGAATTTTTAAGGAATAAAGAATTATTTTATGTTAAAGTTGTTAACTATCTTAACGGCAAATTTTAGTTAACGGGTTAGAAAACTCTACATTCTTATGTATTTTTATGAGAAAAATATTAAAAGTTAACAATTTATTGCTGTAGAGACATATTTGGAATTTTGTGCAACCTATAACTGATTGCTGTAGGAAAAGATTACAAATTTTGCGCAACCTATCACTGATTGCTGTAGGAATAGAGTGCAAATTTTGCGCAACCTATAACTGATTGCTGTAGGAGTAGATTGCTAATTTTGCGCAGCCTATAACTCCTTGCAGTAAGCACAGAGTTCAAATTTTGCGCAAGTCATAGTTCTTCATTCCTATTATAGAAAAATATTGCTGTAAAATCAGCGTTCATGTTTTTCGCAACTGAAAATTACTGTAGATTAACTTGTTAAACTAAAATTATCCCAAGATTTTTTTTTTAAATTTTATTTTATAAAAACATATTAAAAATGAGAAAAAAATTTCAAAAACGAATTGTTCACTGCGATATTTGCAATTGATTTTCTCATCGTAAAGCATTCATTTCCTACGGAATACGGTATATTAAGACATTTTTTGTTACAGTTACATTACAGCAATGGCCTGGAATTCAATGAAAAATGAGAAAGATAATTTTAAAATATTTCTTCAACAAAATGTGATGGAGGAAAAGGCAATAACTTCATGATTTCGACCGAGAGATTTTGAAGTATAAAGTATTTATTGGATTTTGTGTGTCTACTAATACGATTTATAAGAATCTATTGGAAATCGATAACAATCAAAAATTGATTGCTTGACTAATTTTTAAGTCTTCATAAAAATATGTTAGATACTTGTAAAAATTGTTACTTACATTATTAAAATTTAAATAATAACAAAAGTTAGTAAGATGACAGACGATAAATATAGGTGAAGTAATTTACTGAATTACCTCGGTAATCTCATAAAATAATTTATATTTTCACAAAATAGTTAGCTTAAATATGTGTTCACCGTTTGCCTTTTATGATACTAAAATAGATAGGTTTAAAATAATATCAAAAGATTCTTTATATAAAAAAAAAAACAATAAGAAGTTATAATAAACCAATATGTTGAGAAATTATTCTTTGCTGGCTGAGTTAAGAAAGGTGTTTTTTCCTCCGTACATCTTTTTCCCATTGCATTTGTTTCTACCGACTTTTGTATTGCGGGAAAACGAATTTCCCAAATTTGAAGGGATTTGCAAGTTTTTGTAAACCCCAAACTTAACTGACTTTTCTTAACTTCCTCTTGACTTCCATCGCTAATTATGGAAGAAAAGAAAAAAAAATCTGGCACAGTTGTCTCGGAAATTTGTGATTAATTTCGTTTATTTCGGTATTCAATATTTATTTATTTATTTATTTATTTATTTTTTTTTTTTGTATTTGATGAACATAATAAAATAAAAAATTCTGGCACAGTTGTGAATCGATTTTAATTAAATTTTTTCTGTTCAATGAACAGTGAATATATAAATATGAATTCAATGAATATATATATATAGGTGATTCTCACGAAATATGACAATTCACTGTCCCTTGCTCCAAGATCAAATACTTTAATACTAAAAGTACTTTTTTTTAAAAAAATTAATAAATAGCATTGCTGTTAGCATTTTAAAATGACTTTGCACTAGCATTGACTGTTTTGTATAG